AACTGATCAGCGGCTGATTCCAGGAAGCCCAGGGCAGAGCAACTCTGCCTCGGGCTTCCTGTAGTCAGCCGCTGGTCAGTTTCAGCAGCGGCTGAATCTGGACGCCAGTTCCGACTTACATACAGATTCAACTTAAGAACAAACCTACAGTCCCTATCTTGTACGTTACCCGGGGACTGCCTGTATAAGTATTTGCTGTCAAGCAATTAAAATAATTGTGATTAATTACACTGTTAAACAGTAATGGAACACCATTTATTTTAAGTATTTTGGATGTTTTCTGTACTTTCAAATATATTGATTTCACTTACTGCACAGAATACAACATGTACAGTGTTCACTTTATTTTAGATTATAAATGTGCACTGTAAAAAAACCTATTTTTCAGTTCACTTCATACAAGTGCTGTAGTGCAATCTCTTTATTATGAAAGTTGCATTTACATATTTAAGTTCACTGAGTCCTACTTCTTGTTCAGCCAATGACTCAGACAAACAAGTTTGGTTACAATTTTCAGGAGATAATGCTGCCTGCTTCTTGTTTACAATGTTACCTGAAAGTGAGAGCAGGCATTCACATGACACTGTTGCACAATATTTACATGTCAGATACACTACAAATTGATATGGCCTTTCACGTTTCAACCAGCATTCCAGAAGACGTGCTTCCATGCTGATGATGGTTTCGTCTTGACAGCAATCCAAAGCAATGTGGACTGGTGCATGTTCATTTTCATCATTTGAGTCAGATGCCTCCAGCAGAAGGGCAATTTTCTTTTTTTCGGAGGTTCAGGTTCTGTAGTTTCCACATCTTAAAACTAACAGCATCTAAGTCTGCTATAATATCAAATGTATGGCAGAATGTGGGTAAAACAGAGCAGGAGACATATCATTCTCCCCCCAGGAATTCAGTCACAAATTTAATTAACATGTTATGTTTTTAATAAGCATTATTATCACAGAAGCACCTTCCCTGGTATAGTGGCCAGTCTAATGTTTAGCATGTCTGGCAGTAAATACCTTGCAGCACCAGCTACAAAAGTGTCTTGGGAATGTCTGTTCTTACTTTCTGATGACATTGTAAATAAGAAGTAGACAGCATTATCTCCATCAGTTTAAACAAACTTGATTGTCTGAATGATTGGTAGAACAAGAAGTAGGACTCTGTGGACTTGTAGGCTTTAAAGCCAGGTTGGGCAAGATCCAGCCTGTAGGCTGCATCCAGCCCACCAAATCTTTTAATCCACCCTGACCCGCTGGGATCCTTGGACATGGAGCAGCTCTATGCCATTCAAAGTGGCTTACTGCTCAATGTGGTCTCTGTGTCACATGTTGGGGAGGGGGAGGCTTTGTGTACTGTCTCTGTCCCCAGCACAATCTCTCAGTGCCTATTGGCTGGAACCCAGCCAATGGGAACTGAGAGATTGGGCTGGGGGTGGGGATAGCATGCAAAGCCTCTCCTCAGCCCCCACAGATGGCACAGAGAGCCACATGGAGCAGCCAGAGCTCTTGAGCAGTCTGGGGCTGCTGGCATGCAGGGAATATGCCTGAGGGTCTCATTGGGCTGCTGTCTGGGAACTATCTAGGTAAGCACCTCCTGGCCAGAGCCTAACTCTGGCACTCCATCCCCTCCCGCACCCCAACTTCCTGCCCCAGGTCACCATCCTCCCTCCTCAGGTTACCACCCAAATCCTTTGCATTCCCCCTGCTTCAGGTCACAACATCCTCCCAGACTCTGCACCCCCTCATACACCGTTCTCCCAGGCCAGAATCTTCTCCTGTACCCATACCCCCTCCCAGATCCTGCACCCCAATTCCCTGCCCTAGATCACCACCCCCTTCTTCACCCAAACTCCCTCTTAGATCCCACGCCCTCTCCAGCACCCTACTTCCCAACGCCTTTTTGCATCCAACCTCCATCCCACCTTCCACCCCCCACACAGAAAAGTGAGGTCCTTGACCAATTACCAAAATGTTGTGCCCCTCCCCCATCATAAAATTGCCACCTCCACTCTCAAGATTTACCTTGTTTTGTTTTTGAATGCAGGTATGTAATAGAAAAAAATCTACATTTGTAATTTGCACTTTCATAATCAAGAGATTGCACTTCAGTACTTGTCTGAGGTGAACTGAAAAGTACTATTTCTTTTGTCATTTTTAGAGTGCATATACTTGTAATAAAAAATAATAATATAAAGTGAGCACCGTGTACTTTGTGTTCCATGTTGTAATTGAAATCAATATTGAAAATGTAAAAAATCTTTGAAAATATTTGATACATTTCAGTGGGCATTCTGTTTAACAGCAATTAATTATGCTTGAATTTTTAACCGGGATTATTTTTTAGTTAATCATGGGAGTTAACTGCTAGTAATTGACAGAGTGACTATTCCTATACAATTGTATTATTTTAACTCAGCCTGTCTATTAGTTAAGTTTTTTGTAGAGGTGGGACCTCTCTGGTCTGGCACCCTTGGGACCTGAGTGGTTCCAAACGACAAAGTTTTCCAGACGAGGGGAGGTCTACCCTGTTCCCCATGAGGGCTACATGCCCCAGTGTACTGACTCTGGATGGGGCTGTGGTGTTGCTCCCGGGCCGGGCAGAAATCCCAGGTTCCCTTCTGAGCTGCTCTCCTGGGCACCAGTCTCACTGCCCAGGCGGGGCTTCACTCCCCGCTATGCCAATCTGGCCAGGACTGCGCTGCCAGCTCCTGCCAGCCCTGCTGCCTCTGGCCAGGTGCAACCTACATGCCCCAGTGTACTGACTCTGGATGGGGCTGTGGTGTTGCTCCCGGGCCGGGCAGAAATCCCAGGTTCCCTTCTGAGCTGCTCTCCTGGGCACCAGTCTCACTGCCCAGGCGGGGCTTCACTCCCCGCTATGCCAATCTGGCCAGGACTGCGCTGCCAGCTCCTGCCAGCCCTGCTGCCTCTGGCCAGGTGCAACTGTGCTCCACACAGTGTTCGTTCCACTGCCACGGGGGCTCTGCTCCAGGGCAGGGCTGCACTCCCTGCCGCCATCCCCAGAGAGGGCTGTTCTCCCCACAATGCCAGCTCTCCTACCAGCCCAGCCTGTGAACCTGGACAGCCGTGGCTCTCTGATCCGGCAATATCCGTGTCCTTTCAGACCTCGGATGTTGCTGGAGCAGAGAGTCCCAGATGTTAGTGGTTAAACATGTGGGAGATGGCTATTGAAGAGGTATTTGAAGGTGGAAAGGGGCTGGTTCAGAAAGTGTGCTATATATTTAAAAGCAGCATGGAGAAATAATTATTACTAAGTTGTTATTGTACATATGTCAGATATATCCATTTGCTGACCTTTTACTGAATTAATATTAGGTTTGGCTAATCATATATTAGGAAAGGGAAAAATCAACAAAAGCATGGCTGCATAATTTTTTAAATGTAAGAAAAATGTAAAATGTACCAGCATAACATCGGAAAGGCTACTTCTAGGCTGCTCATTTTGATAGTTGTTAATTTGAATCAGATTTCAGAAAGTGGAACCGGAATTACTTTCTTGCACTGTTCTTTTTTTCTTCTTCTTCTTCTTCCAGCTGTATTAATGTTACTTATGAGAAGATTACAGCAGTAGTTTAGAAACTTTAGAAATCACCAGATATGGAATTACTACACATAAATCTTTGCTTCAGTTAAATCCCTGTTCATCTAGGGAAAATTCTGTGTTTCATTCTGTTTCATTCCTGATCTTTTTGGATAAGATGCACACTTAAGGAAAAAGAGTCTTAACATGGATGTATTTTTGTTCTTAGTTTGTGAAAAGACACCAGATGTGATACATGTGTATGGAATTTACTAGCAAATGAAATGCACAAACAATTACAGTTCATTTTATGAGAGCTGGTTTAGTCAATAGAAAATAAGCCCTGCAGACAAGAGACATAGTTCCCTGAGGCAACTAAAAGGAAGTTAGATAGAACATTGAGTT